ATTATCCATTTAAAGTCGGTCCTACGTAACTTTAAATCAGCCTTAAAAATCTAACCTATCCAAAATAAAACTGAAATTTTAAAAAAAATCGGCTACATCAATCGGCAGACTAAAACATATAAATCTGTTGACAACCATAAATCAGTGAGACAAACCGGCCACCTCAAAACTATCTGCCGTGAATCTAAAGTCTGCCACCAAGTACTTGGCAGATTTAAATTTAACAACAGTTTAAATTAACAGATTTATATGCCGATAGATTTGTTTTTCCGTAAATAAATCTGCCATCGACGATTTTTAAAAAAATATGAATGGCACTTTTGTAATATTACTTTTTGGTCACAATTGTAAGCAAGGGCACTTTGGTCAATAAAAAAAAAGTTAGTAATTTTAAAATTTTATGAGTTATTCTAGTAATTAGTAGATTAATTTGAGTCATATTAGTAAACTTCCCAAAAAGTAATCAATAAAATTATGGAGTCGACTTCATTCCAAATCAAACTATTATACTAAAATGATAACTAATATCAAAATATAATATTAAAATACAAGTTAATAAACTTGTAATCACTAATATCAAATGACAAATAGTTATTCTTTCGTGTTTCTAATCAGAATCGCGAGTTTCCAAATCAGATACGCAAGTTTCCATTATGTTTCCAAAATGACATATTTAATAAACGCGTTTCCAAAGCGTTTCCTCAAGTTTCCAAGAGATTCTGATTCTGAAACGTTTCCAAAATAGGAAATGGACACTGACCGGAGTTTCCATGCAACCTAGAATATTTCTGATGTGGAGGATCAACCATGTTGCAACCAGAGCATACCTTCCATACCAGTTTATAGTTAGAAAAAACTTAATGTAAAAAATTTGCGCAGGAAATATAAGTACCTTAGCTTAGACTACCATGGCTATGATACCAAATTTACAAACACATAGGAGTTAGCCGGTTATTTCAATAGCAAGAGAGGCTTGCGTCAGGGATGTTCTCTTTCACCATATTTGTTTGTTATATGTATGCAAGTTTTAACTAAACTCCTAGATGAAGCTGCAGTTGAGAAGCGAATTGGATACCATCCTTACTACAAGGAGTTAAGCTTGACCCATATTTGTTTTGCGTATGATGTTTTGGTATTCTCAGATGGGAAGAAGAGTTTAATTGAAGGCATCCTGGCAGTGTTTCAAGAATTTTCTAAAGTTTCAGGGCTTAATATACGTCTTGAGAAATCTACCTTATTCTTGGCAGGAGTTAAAGCAGATGATAGTGAGGCTATCCTGGAACAATTTCCATTTGAAGCTGGAACCCTTCTGGTAAGATATCTTGGGCTTCCTTTCCTAACAAAAAAATGAATATCCATGATTACAGCCCTCTCATTTCAAGAATTAAAACTCGGATTTCTTCCTGGACTGCAAGATATCTCTCTTTTTCTGGACGGCTTCAGCTGATTGGGTCTGTCATATGTAGAATAACCAATTTTTGGATGTTGGTTTTCAGACTACCAAGTAAGTGCATTCAAGAAATTAATATCATTTGTTCGGCTTTTCTCTGTTCAGGACCGGTTCTATCAACGCATAAAGCTAAGGTATCTTGGGTGGATGTGTGTAAACCGAAGGATGAAGGAGGGTTAGACTCAAAAAACCTTGCTGTTGTGAATACATTTTTTTTGTTTAAAAGTAATCTGGTGTATACTGTCTGCTAGATCATCTCTATGGATCAAGTGATTCTGGAAATATCTTATAAGGGTTCTTTGTGGAGTGTGAAGGAGAAGAGCTGTTTGGGGTCTTGGATGTGGAAGAAACTACTAAAACTGAGACCTTTGGCTATGCAGATGTCTAGAGTGGAGATAAATTGTGGTTCTACCACGTCCTTTTGATATGATAAGTGGTCATCTTTGGGTTGTTTAATCGAGTAAATGGGGAAAGAGGGAGTATAAACTTGGGTATTCCTATAAACTCCAAAGTTGAAAGTGCTATACAGACTTTTAGAACCAAAAGACATAGAGTTTCTACACTTCGGAGGATTGATCAGGAAGTTATGGTCCTTAAGAATTGAGGTCTGAACCAATAGGAAGATATTAGGGAAAATGGGGAATTTAGAGAAGGTTTTCACACATCTGAAACTTGGAACCTTATAAGAGTCCAGTCACCTAAAGTACCATGGATCAAAGAGCTACTCCAAAATTCTCTTTTCTTACATGGTAGCTATTCAAAACAGGCTTGAGACTGGTGATAGGATTCTTAGATGGAATCCTCAGGCTATCTCCACTTGTTGGTTATGCAAATCGGCAATAGAAACCAAAGACCATCTTTTTTTTTAATGCTCTTATTCAAGAGAAGCATGGTATGGTTATTAAGGATATGACGGGTGATAGGAGACTATATTGGTGGACTAATGAGGTTCAGGCTGTGGTTGTAAAAACATGATATGTGGCTAAACCTATATGACCGAGTGTGATGTAGTGTGATGCAAGCATATATGAGCATAAAGAAAAGAGACACAGAGATTTGTTAACGAGGTTCGTTTCCTACATCCTCGAGACCACGTCCAGAACTCATTCACTAGAAAAGGCCGCAACAAACCATTGCTATATGGTATCCAGCACACACCCGTGCCTACCACTCTAATCTAGAATTACAATGATAAGAGCAACTACTACTCTGACAAGTATAGTTCTCCATAACAAAACTACCAACAAATCTCTCCATCTGTCTGGTAGGACGACGTTACACACATCCATGTGCATCTTCAATAAACTCTAAACGCGTGACGGCTTCATCTCACCATCTTGTCTCTTTATACTCTAACAAAGCAAAACCCTAGCTTATTAAGCCCATTAATCTTTTTTTTAATACATATTTCGTCAGCCAAATATATGGGAATATTCCATATCACCGCATCTTAATGATTCCTTTTTATTCTCCGAAGCGTGTGTCACACACCATTATCTGTGTGTTACACAATGGTGTGTGTCACACACCATTATATGTGTGTTACACAAGTACGTGAACCAAAACTCAACCACTGCAGCAACCTATCAAGCTCCAAATTCTTGAACTTACATTCTCCCCCTTTTTCACTGATTTTTACAACTCAAGCTCAATAACCTTCAAACACACTACACATCTTTTACTCCCCCTGAATCAAGTACCATCTCTCCTTGCTTGACTGGAAAATTCTGTGAAAAATTTCATGACACTTGTTGGACCAGAATCAAAAGTCACCAGATCCGCCATTGACTCTAATAACAGAGAATCCATAAACTCTAACACTCCTCTTGATATCTTCACGACATGACTATTTTCATCCTCTTCAACTTTTCAGCTAGCCACAAATACCATATCCAGGATCTACCCGAAATAAGATGAATCTCTATGAGCACCCGCTCTGATACCAATTGTAAAAACATGATATGTGGCTAAACCTATATGACCGAGTGTGATGTAGTGTGATGCAAGCATATATGAGCATAAAGAAAAGAGACACAGAGATTTGTTAACGAGGTTCGTTTCCTACATCCTCGGGACCACGTCCAGAACTCATTCACTAGAAAAGGCCGCAACAAACCATTGCTATATGGTATCCAGCACACACCCGTGCCTACAACTTTAATCTAGAATTACAATGATAAGAACAACTACTACTCTGACAAGTATAGTTCTCCATAACAAAACTACCAACAAATCTCTCCATCTGTCTGGTAGGACGACGTTACACACATCCATGTGCATCTTCAATAAACTCTAAACGCGTGACGGCTTCATCTCACCATCTTGTCTCTTTATACTCCAACAAAGCAAAATCCTAGCTTATTAAGCCCATTAATCTTTTCTTATCACATATTTCGTCAGCCAAATATATGGGAATATTCCATATCACCGCATCTTAATGATTCCTTTTTATTCTCCGAAGCGTGTGTCACACACCATTATCTGTGTGTTACACAATTGTGTGTGTCATACACCATTATTTGTGTGTTACACAAGTACGTGAACCAAAAATCAACCACTGCAGCAACCTATCAAGCTCCAAATTCTTGAGCTTATAGTGGTGAATGGTCTTCATGGGAGAAACTTGACATTTGTGCTGAGAGATTGCTTTCAAGCGTTGGCTTATGCGATTTGGCATAATAGAAATGTGAGAGGAGTAGGTGATCCAGCTCAGCATGCTTCTTGTCTGATTGTTAGATTCTATAAGATGGTCAGGAATAGAATCACTTCACTGAGAAGAAAGGCCGGCAATAAGTATAAGAAGGCAATGGAGGTTTGGTTTGGAAGAAGATAGAGAAGACAAAGGATACAGTGATGTTTACGTTTGTTTAATCTTTAAATGGGGTACTAAGTATATTTAGTAGAGAAGAAGCAGTGAAACTCTGTACAAAGTTTTTTTTTTTATTTGAATAAAATTTAAAATTCTTCAAAAAAAAATGATGCAAGTTCTAGTATACGGATGCTGGTAGATTCTTAGGCAGAGGTTGCTACTGATATCACAGGTTGTAGAAGATGGACATGAGTTCTTTGCAAATAGACAGCTGGTGACAATATTCTCTGCACCCAATTACTGTGTTGAGTTTCACAATGCTGGCGCAAGGATGAGTGTTGATGATAGCTTGACATGTTCTTTCCAGATCCTCAAGTCAGCTGAGAAGAACGTAAAATTTGGATTGAATAACAAAATTTCTAGACGCGGAACACCACCACATAAGGTGAAGAAATACTACCCCTCTCATAGTAGCACATGGTTTATGGTTTTCACAATATAGATAGATATCAGGATTCAGGTAGATCAGGATTCAGGTAGATATGTTAGCTATCTTTTTCAGGAAGGAAGAGGTAGCTAAGACCTTCGTATCAGTGGGGAAATCAAGGGAAGAGTGAAGCCAATGGGATATTTTGAAGGTCTATGTAGGTTACTTAGCCAACACAGTTTGTATTTGCTAGGTTTTTTTTTTCGATTGAAGCAAGATTTTGTTCTGTTCTATTTGTTTTGTAATGGTGGCAACAATTTTCAGCTGAAAGTTGGGGTTTATACATCTTACTTAAGACCACAATGCAAGAATGTCACGAAAATCTGTCGACAGAAAAGAAAAAGTACATAACACAAACTTGCGAGGTTTTCTAATACAATCTCAGAACGTTTTCCAGACCACTACGCAAGAATGAAGAGAAAAAAATCAAGCAAAAACCCAAAGAAACTTTAAAGTTGAAATATTTCAGAAATTTTGACAGGACCAGAAAAGAGGGTTTATAAAGATAATCAATACTCCCATTTCTTGAGCTCCATGCCATCTGGGGGAGTGCTCTCCACTTTCTTAGTCCCAACCTCTTTCCAGTTTGTAGACAGCACTGTCCCATTAGACTCAGCCTGTCAAACCCAAAACCACCAGAGAACATGTCAATCAAAAGTAAATGATTAGTTGTTAAACCAAAAGAGAGACTGATCAACTCACAAATGATTTGTTCATGGCTCGCCTCATGTCCTCATCAGCACTCTGGTATATATCGCTGAAAAACTTGTTCATTGCTGCATCTCCATCTAGCTTCTCATCCTTCTCCTGCACATTCAAAAGCAATAAGCAGAAATAGTATAAAAGTAAAATAAATCAAAACCTCTGGAGCTAAAAGAGGAACCTGTTTCTTCACTTCAGCCTCCAGCTTGTCCCAGTCTTTTCCAGGCTTAGATGATGGATACACTGGCCTCTGCGACACTGCTGCATTTGAAACAGAAAATTACATGAGAAGAGAACCACCGTCTTCGCTTCAGTTGTTTAAGGTTGTACAACTGCAAATATATCAAATAAACACGGAGACAAAGGTTGCATGCTAAAAGAAACCTGATGCAACATTGGGTTTAGGCAGAAGAGCTTGCCCTTTGCCATATTCAAGGGAGGCCCAAGTGATTATCTCTGCTTTTGCGAGACGGATCTCAACTTTGGTTGACAATACTTCATATCTGCACTTCTCTGGTATTATCTATATAACAACCATGAAGAATGATTTAGTATAAGTACGTATAAAAGCACCACACAATCTACTTTGTCGTATAAATATACCTTCCCAAACAATCTTGGCTGGAAATGATAAGCTTCCTCTCCAGCAACATCAATCACAACACTCAGCTGCACAAAAGACAATTTCAGATTACAGAGCGAGATAGGTTCACAAGTTGAGTTAAAAGTCTGATGGCAGGATACTCACAATCTGGTCACCAAACTCAACATTTACGTTCTGCTTTGGTATTCCTTTAGCGAAAATCGTCACCACCACTTCTTCTGGCTTCTGATAGAACTCGTGTCTGTTGAAACCATCGAGTTTATATAATGTGATACAAAAACTAAAAAGGAAAGTAACACTTCCGAGAACTAGACTACCTGAACATAGGTTTGACAGGTGCTGCAGGAGTTGGAACAGGAGGAGCATCAGCTGCGGTTGCTAGTGGTGTTGTAGAGCTTGAAGGCAAAGTCGGTGGCATCTGTTGAACCAAGTCTTTCTCTTCCTCTTAAGAGATATAAAAAAAAAAGAGATTATATTATAAATCTAAAGACTATATGTGGGTTTAGCAGATTATATCTTAATGGAGGGGTTCATGTAATAATATACCTGCAATGAGAAGATTGCATTCATCTAACATCTTCTTAAACTTGGAATCATTTGGTGCAACAGAAGCGCCTTTTTCAAGGGCTGCTTTAGCAGTACTATATTCTTCTAGCTTCATACAAGCAGTGCTGTATAGTATGAGAATATAACATTAAGATTCGAATCAAAATTAAACTTAATACAGAGAGATGATGACAATATCATTCGTACCCCTTTCTAAGGTAAGCTTTAGCCAACGTAGGCTCCAACTCGATGGCTTTGTTTGCATCTGCAACAGCTTCTGCTCATGGAGAAGCACAAAAAATCATATGTCAGATCCAAGAATTAGACAGCAATAAGGGTGCATAAAGAGACCTTTTTCAAAAGTACACAACAATATAATAACACATCAAACCAGTAACGGAACCTAAAGCTAAACTAAATCGAATTACGTAAGAAGACAGCAAAACGACAAAAACCCAGAACCCTCAAAAAGCGTATACGAGGCAAGAGGATGAAAAATCGTATAGTTTGGATGAGTTTACCGGTGAAATTATCGATTTTGATGTTGGCCTGAGCACGATCCGCGAAGAAGGCGGCGCAAGAGGGATCCAAGTCAATGGCTTTGGAGTATAAGTCAACGGCCACATCGAAGTCGTCTTCTAAGAAGGCCTCTTTAGCTTTCTCTGCTAGTTCCTTCGCCATTGAATATTGGATTCTGTTTTCAATAATTTTGAGGATATGAAGAGACGCACAAGACCCAGACCGATCCCTCTCTACTTATTTATTTTTGAGTACAACGTTTTTAATCCTAATCCATTAGGTCATTTATAAATAATATAATTAGTAAAATATAATACATATTTCTCTTAAATTGAATCTGACATATATTTTGCTAAAAAAAAAGAATCTTGACATATCCAATATTCCGATTTCACAAATATTTTTCCAATAATTGTTAAGTTATCATAAAAAATCTAGTTTGTGTTATTTTATCATTATCCCATCATACTGTACATTATCTCATTAGTAGGATAATTCTTAAATCTTTTTTTTAAATATGTTGGTCTAGCTAAAAATATATTAAGTACCTACAAAATTATTTTCTAGTATTTCATCAAATAAAAGTTACAAATTCTCTATAATATTATTAAAAAGTGATTTTTATGTATCATATTCACATTAATTTTCACAACAGTTAATTACACAGGTATCATTAATGAATTAAAAAATACTAAATTTAAATATTATTGTTAATTTTTATTTAGTTTCCTTTTAAGTTTTTCCAAATAACATATATAATAACAATGAATCATTTATAAAATTTAAAACAAATTTAAAAACAAAATATATGTATTTATAATATGATTCATTAAAAAGGAAAGTTCACAAAATATTAACATTTCCTTTAAATATATATTTTAAATAACATAAAATATGCTTTCAAATTAAAAAAAAAATATGTTTCTTTCTCCCTATATTTTTCTTAGATGAAAAGAAAAACTGATTTACATATAGTGGTACTTATAAAAAAAATTACAAAGATAATCTTGATATTAAAATAAATCTTATTTCCTTTAAAACATAATTTTAAACAATATAAAATATGTATATTTCTTTACATTTTCAAAGGTAATAGAAAATGTTTTTTTATATCTATCTATTTGCTTAAATGATTACATAATATAATCAAGGACTAAAAAATATTTTATAATTGATGTAATTATTTATTTATTATTCACAATCTTACTTGGGTATAATATCTTAGATATTACAGAAAAATCAAAAATATCTATAAATTATATTATTATTCTATAATATGATTTCACAAAAATTATATTTATATAATATGATTTCACAAAGAAATCACAAAGAAATTATTATTTTATAAGATATTAAAAAGAAAACTAAAAAATAATTGTAACAATTGGCATTTTTGATCAAAATAATTACATATTATTAAAAAGAATAACACTAAATACTTTTAATAACATAGATATATTATATTTTATCATTATTAAAAAATATTATTTTTCATATTTAGTTTGCTTTTTAATTATAAGTTTTCTTTATGTTTGTGGAACTTATTTAGTTTGCTTTGTAACTTGTCATAGTTTATCATCGGTTCTGTTTTTGCTAGTTGGCTCATACAATTTGCTTTGCTTGTAAACCTCATTTGGGTACCTAGACAGTAACTACTTAGTTCGACTATTGACGTACGTTGCAAGTATTGATCACTGGATCAATATGTTTGATAAAAAAGGAAAGGGTATTATGAGGATGATGAACCTATCCTTCTGGTGGATCAGGTTGATGATGAGCAGATCCAAGAATGTCGGTTATCCCTGATCGGGAAGGTCATGAACCCGTTTAAAAAATCTGTTCCTAAGCTGATGGATTACATGTTATCACAATGAAACATGGGAGATCGTATTACTGCCTTGGAGTTGGGAAACGGGAGATTCCTGTTTAATTTTACCAACGAGGATGATCTCCAGGCTGTGTTAAAGCTATGTCCTTTTCACTACAACTATTTCATGATTGTTTTAGTCTGCTGGGAGCCAGTGGTTGATGAGGATTACCCTTGGATCATACCATTCGGGGTTGAGCCAATAGGGATTCCTTTGCATCTTGGTACTTCCAATAACTTAAGAAGCATTGGATATAAGCTTGGCCTTGTACATAAGTTCGACGCGACGCTGGGAAAGATACTGGTAGACATAGATAGCAGGAAGCCGCTCAAGGTAACACGCAAGCTCAAGGCTAAAAATGGGGATATATCTATTCAGCTGAACTATGAGATGTTGTTCAAACATTGTTCTTACTGTCATATGATGACTCATGAGGTAGGACATTGCCAGAAGAAGGTTAAAGATCTAAATGATGAGGCTTTGAAAGCATCATTGGTGCAAAAAGGTTTGATTCAACAAGAAGCTCCGCAACGGTATATTGATGGCTCCCATAGTGTTATGATTAAGTCTGGAAAGGAAGAAAACACTGAGTGCGCATACAACTCTAAGTACCAGAAGGATCATGTTCTTTTGAGGGTAATGAGCAGTACCAAAGGGGTACAACGAGGGTAATGAGGACGTCACACTCACAACGAGAACCTGGGATTAAGGGATCGAGTAAAGGCTCAAGGTTTAACCCATATTAATGTGGGGAAGAAAGAGGGCGGAAGTGGGAGAAGAATGATAACAAACATGATCTTGTCCTTAAACCTGAGCCTCTTTGGCGGGTGAAACAACATGGTATCATGACTAATGAGCCTAAAGTTGATCCAAAAACTGATAATGGAGAGGGTCGTAAGAAGCATGTGGAGACTGATCCAGTTTCCAGATTCCCTTGTTGCAAGGGTTCTACGAGGGAGGTACCATTGCACATGTTCAATTCTAAAATTGACGGGCTCTGCATCACCCTCGTATGTAAGGACCAGTCTGATGGAAGCGAAGCCTTTACTAATGCTGAGGATTAGACAGAATGTGCACTCTAGATTTCAAATCAATGTATGGGAGGAGCCATGAATCTGTACTGTTCCTGCGCGACCTGCCTTACCGGCAGCGCCAGTAGTTCATCCAAGGATGGCAGTATCTCGATTTATTCAGGGTATGCCAAAAGCATGGGATGTGGAGATGCTCCAACAGTGTGTAGCCCAAGAGGATATCCCTAGGATTCTCTGTATGGCTATAAGTCAAATGCATAAAGATGATAAGTATAGCTGGAGCTATACGAAAAGCGGCTTATACATTGTAAAGTCGAGATATTGGGTGGCCCAAAATATTTTATATCAGCCTGCCTGGGTCTTCGTCTCGGAGCCCAGTATTACAAGGCTACAAGCGCAAACATTGAAGATAAAAGCACCTCAAAAGATGAGACACCTGATATGGAAAGTGGCATCGGGATATCTAACGGTTACAAAGAATCTAACATATCGCCATATGTGATGTGAAAATTATTGTCCCAGATGTGGAAAAGAGGATGAATCTGTCAATCATGCGATCTTTGAATGTCCACCAGCGCTGCAAGTTTGGGCACATGCCACCACTCCATCTACACCAGGTGTATTCCCAAACCCCAACATATACACAAATTTGGACTATTTATTCTGGAGGAAGAGCTCGATTGAGGATCCATATATGGATAGAGATCCATATCCGTGGATCATCTGGGGTATATCTGGAAAGCTAGAAATGACAAGTTATTCAGAGGGGTATTAAGGGACCCACTTGAACTTGTAAGATATGCAGAGAGCGAATGTAAGGCATGGTTCGAGGCAAATTCACAAACAATGGAGATAATACAGTCTCATCAAGTTCAGAATACACAAGCCATAAGCTTACAAAATGTATGTCTGGTTGATGGTTCATGGACGGCGGATTCACCTTTCAGCGGATATGGGTTCAGGACATAATCAGTTTATGGGGTTGAAAAACATAGAAAAAAGATTATCTCTGGTACACACAGAGTTGGGAGCAATCCAATGTGCAATGAAAATATATCAAGGTTACAAGAACAGCTCCAAGAATTCAACATTACGCACATCCAGAGGATATACAACAAGACCGCCGACGCCCTAGCAAAAAATGCTCGAGCTTTTCATAGAACTATTGTTTTTGTTGGTTTTTCTATCCCGACCTAGATTCTCAGGTCACCTCTAGTTTGAGTGATAAAATAACTCTTTGATGTAAAAAGAAAAAAGAATATAACTAACTCAATACACTCACAACACGAATGACTAGATTAATCCAACTTATATTCAAAATCAAATATCTAACTACAATAAAACCATATAATTTTATAATAATAATCTATTTACTTTTATACATAGAAATTATAGGATGACTCAAATATATTAATAAAGCAAATATTAACCAATTGTTACAATTGAGTTATTTTTATATAGATGCATGACACTTCAGAATATTATCGTTATATTCATTGACGTAAATTTGAATCAAACACTTTAGTTTATTTTTATTTCATTCGAGGCAAAATATATATTAAGTTACAAAAAATCTTACTAATATATTTACATATCTAAAACAATAAGCAACTCAAATGTATATAAGAAAAGTAATCAAAATTTTAACATATTTCGAATAAAAATATTATAGTTGAATTCAGAGAAATTTATGTAATCTAGGATACCCGAATGATAACTAAATCTATTTTTGATCCAAAAAATCAACCAAACATACTAGACATTACATATCCAAACTTAACATATAAATGGTAATTAATGATTTTGAATAATAAAGATTTCATAATATCAGACATAATTTTGTTTAATTTTTATTATTAAAAATGAAAAAATAAAATTAGTTACTTAATAAAAATAAGATTTTATTCTTATATGTTATATTTTGAATTCTTTTCTAAACGACTATAAATTACTAAAACTGTTAAAAGTTTTACAATGAAAATTTTGTGAATAATGGATTTATTTATTTTGTTTGTTATAAAAAGATATGCTCATAAGATCTTAAGAGGATGAAGTATCATTAATAAATATTTTGATTAAATATATATATATATATATATTATTATTTCTTTTAATATCATTTAAATTAAAATATATACATATAAAATACTTAAATACGTTAATTTCAAAATTTGCATTGAAAAGATATTAAAACCTGAATATTTTAATTTTTCAAATTTGCATTGATTTTCTTTAAAAAAATATAAATTACTACAGCTATTAAAATCCCATATTGTTTTTTTAATTAATCGTTTTAATTTTTTTTGTTACAATAAATATATAGATATTAATAAAATCATATGAGTAGGAACTAAGAAATTTCAATTAAATACTCATATTAAAATATACTATATACATATCGATATCATAAAAATTTAATTATATACCATAAAAAAATAAATAAAAGGATTGTTTTGATTTATTTACTTACATTTATTCACTTTGATTGTTGTGCTTAATACAATTTAATTATATATCTATTATTTACTCGCTTCTCAGTTATCCAATATATTTATTATTTCATAATACGTAAATGAATACAAATTAAATAATAATATGTACAAATAATCCGTATACATAATGTTCATAACGCGTAATGCGCGTTAATTATACACTTATATGTTGAATACAATTGATATTTCAAAAATTGACTAAGTTGCATATGACATATATTGTAGATTATGTTGGGAGACAGCTTTGAATCTGAATGAGAAATCTGATACAATATATACCAACCTCTAGACAAGAGATTTAATGTAGATTATATTAGAGGCCAGCTTAAAATCCCTTAGACACTTATAATAAGTGTGGTTATTGTTGGCATACTATCCGCTTTAGCTTTTCCATGCTGTACAGCCTACAATCAACAGCTCAAAGAATGATGCTAGGTAACATTTAGGTGATTAGTTCCAAGAAAATGTTATAGTTCTCAATTGTCTCTACTTTGAGTCAATAAAACGGTACAACTAACACTCAAAACAAAACACAATAATTACTTCTTCAAATTTAAATAAAATTGTCCTCATTGCTATGTAGTTAGAGTTTCGCAAAAATAAACCAAGAAAATCAATAAAAACAAAGAAAAGTAGATATGTACTTTTTGGTCGACTCGAGTGTTGTAATGAGTGTCGTTCATTACTCATGGGTGGATGGGCATCGACCGATACTGGTATTCTATGACACAAACTTTTTTCAAAGATAAAGAAAACTTTCCAGTAGGTTCCCTCCCACCAAACGCTTGTTTACAGACATTAGCTGGACTTTAGAGACCAGATTTCATCCAGGTGAGAATGAAAACTTGCCCCAAAAAAATTCTCAAAGCCCCATATCTTCATCACACTGCCCATAAAACTTTTCACAGAATCCTCTCCTTTGTCTTTCAACTCTGAAATGAAAAATGTTCTCACTTTAATAAATGGATGTGAGAAACTTCTACTTCGAACCTTTGATTCAATGACACTATCTGGGAATCTCTAAGGAATCAATGTCAAATTAGGATCGCCCTTGATCCTTTTACTCTTCACAGACTTCTTCTTGCTCCCCCCCCCCCCAAAACTTATGTGATTGTATTGCACTTAAGACATGAGAGAAAACTACAAACAGAGGATCATCAGCTATCTCAATGTAAGAAGTTACATGCATACCTCAGTTTGGTGGGAAATTGTAATAATCATCAATAAGAATAAGAACGGGGACGAAGCCAAAGAACGGTCGAATGGAAAATATCCGATCTATGGCCACATAAATGGTCAAAGGATGGTCAGATAAGGAAATTTGAGCCAAGATGGTTTTGATGAACGACCTATGTTCTAATGAGTAAATATAAATGGATAAATGATTATAATTGATTTGGCACGAGGAAATGGTTCAGAAACAAAAATGGTTGGATCAGTGTTAAAGTCTCAGAAATTCATGAAGCACCGAGTAGTCAAAAATATATAGAGAAGTGTTCGATGATGAGAATTCGAAATGCAAAGAACAATGGACTTGGAAAATTAGTTGTTGTCAGAGTAAAATTTCAATTCGTCAGAGTATCAGTTGCATTGGTCGAAAAATCTGTTTTTCGATAGCTCAGAAATTATTATATAACGCTTGAAGGTCGAATATGCTGCCGTTCCCCTATCGGTCAAGAAGTCAACTCCTCGGATGAATAAAGAAGCCTATCGAGAAAGAAATATATTACCGAGGTACTTCAGTTTGAAGTTCATTTGAGAGAAGTTATGGTACATGAAGATTCATTGGAAATTTAGCGGATCGAAAACTGATTAGATCGTTCATGAAATCTAAAAAAACATTGATTGAAGTTTTTTTGGATATGATGACCTTAAAATTATTTTAGAATTTTTTTGGTCTGAGAAATCAAGGTTTTGGTCAAGGAGAAACATTTATATCGATTAGACAATAATTACGTTAGAGCTAAATGTAGCTCGTTTGGGTCTGTTTACGGTGTGTTAGGTGTGCCTAAATATCAAAGGAAATGGATTTCTCTTTAGTTGATTTAGACAATAATTACGTTAGAGCTAAATGTAGCTCGTTTGGATATTAAACCTAAATGCCACATAAAATTAGGTGTTGTGCCTGCAAGTAGTAGTATAGATTTCTCTTTAGTTGCTTTAGAAGCAATGCAGTAGTATATTTTAAGTTGGCCATTTCTTATGGATCTTAAACAAATGTGATCCTATATCAAAGCCCAATACAAATTCAAGAAACCCTAATTCTAAAACCCTTTTTTAAACCCCTCTCACTCGCGTGTCTTCTACTAAGCGACGCCTCTTCCTCCATTGCTCAAAACCCTAATCAAGCCAGGAGCCATGACGGAGGTCGAAGAAGTTCCCGCCGAAACCACCGGAGACTACATGATCAAACCCCAGAGTTTCACTCCCGCCATCGACACATCTCAGTGGCCCCTCCTCCTAAAGAACTACGACCTCCTCAACGTCCGTACCGGTCACTACACTCCCATCTCCTCCGGCCACTCCCCTCTCAAGCGTCCTCTTTTGGACTACATCCGTTACGGTGTCATCAACCTCGACAAACCCTCCAACCCTTCTTCCCACGAGGTCGTTGCTTGGATCAAACGCATCCTCCGCGTCGACAAGACAGGACACAGTGGGACTCTTGACCCTAAAGTCACGGGAAACCTCATTGTCTGTATAGACAGAGCCACACGGCTTGTGAAGTCGCAGCAAGGTGCGGGTAAAGAGTACGTCTGTGTTGCTCGTCTTCACTCTGCTGTTCCTGATGTGGCTAAGGTGGCGAGAGCTCTTGAGTCGCTCACTGGAGCTGTGTTTCAGAGGCCGCCTTTGATCTCTGCTGTGAAGAGACAGCTGAGGATTAGGACGGTTTATCAGAGTAAGTTGCTTGAGTATGACGCGGATAGGCATTTGGTTGTGTTTTGGGTTTCTTGTGAGGCGGGGACTTATATTAGGACCATGTGTGTTCATTTGGGTTTGCTTCTTGGTGTTGGTGGGCATATGCAAGAGCTTAGGAGAGTTAGGTCTGGGATTTTGGGTGAGAATGATAACATGGTTACTATGCATGATGTTATGGATGCTCAATGGATGTACGATAATTACAAGGATGAGAGTTATCTTAGGAGGGTGATTATGCCTCTTGAGGTGATTTTGACGAGCTACAAGAGGCTTGTTGTGAAGGATTCTGCTGTTAACGCGATTTGTTATGGTGCTAAGTTGATGATTCCGGGGCTGTTGAGGTTTGAGAATGATATTGATGTTGGCACTGAGGTTGTTCTGATGACGACTAAAGGTGAGGCGATTGCTGTGGGGATTGCGGAGATGACTACGTCTGTGATGGCTACGTGTGACCATGGTGTGGTGGCTAAGATCAAGCGTGTGGTGATGGATAGAGATACTTACCCGAGGAAGTGGGGATTGGGACCTAGAGCTTCGATGAAGAAGAAGCTTATTGCTGATGGTAAGTTGGATAAGCATGGGAAGCCTAATGAGAAAACGCCTGTAGAGTGGAGCAGGAACGTGGTGGTTTTACCAACTGGTGGAGATGCTTTGATTGCTGGTGCTGCGGCCGCTCCGGAGGGGAAGGTTGAGGCTGAGAGTGGAGAAGTGCGCAAGCGTAAGCATGATGATAGCAGTGACAGCCCTGCCCCTGTGTCAACCAAGAAAGCTAAAACAAAAGATGTGGAAGGAGGAGAGGTTGAAGAGAAGGTGAAGTCAAAGAAGAAGAAGGACAAGGCAGAGGGGAAAGAAGAGGAAGCTGTGTCTGAGAAAAAGGAAAAGAAGAAAAAGAAGGACAAGGAGGAGGATAAAGAACAGTTGGCAACACCAAAGTCAGAGAAGAAGAAGAAAAAGAAGAGCAAGGAGACAGATGAAGCTGCTGCGGTTAATGGCGAAGATGAATCACCAGCAGAGAAGAGTGAGAAGAAGAAGAAAAAGAAGAGCAAGGAGACAGATGAAGCTGCTGCTGATGAATCAGCAGAGAAGAGTGAGAAGAAGAAAAAGAAGGAGAAGAAGAAGAAAAGCAAAGACAGTGATGACGAATAATGAGAGTTTGTGTTATGCTACTCGTTAAGTTTTGAATCTTTTGTTTTTATCGTATCTATTCTGGAAAAAGTGAGACGAAAGGCATTTATGCTTGTATCCAAAGTCTCACTTCAGATTACATTTGTTTCTTAGTTTTTATTTTATGTTTGTCCTTTTATCTGCGAGGTTCGTTTCACTTAGCTATGGACTTTATGAATACGGTTTATCGGTTCCATGTCCTTTGTCTGATGATGATTTTAGGTTATTATATGTTTCCAAAATTTCACACATGGCTGATGATTATTCTAGCCAGCTTTGGGTGTCTCCTCCGTTTAGGAGGTTGATCTATTGTGGTGTTAGAGGAGTAGAGAAGCAACTTTTTTACCAAAAGAGACATGTCAAATGCCACAACAGGGAAAAGGAAATGAACACCATAATTCAGTTTGTCCTGATTGTTCAGTTTTCACTTGCAGTGGCTACCGAAGCTGCATATCAGTGTCTGCAAAGTACCAGAAACTTGTTTTTTTTCCCCCGCTGATAAGGCTAGTAAGCTTTGACTTGTACATCTCTGGTATCTACTTAGCCTGGTTTGCTTTTATGAATCTTACCTTGAGTACTCTCTCTCTCTCTCTCTCTCTCCATGAACCTTCCCTGCATTGACCCAAAGAGATGATTGAAATGGCTGGCAAATTCACACTGATTCTTTGAACTTTTATTTTACTTTTTGAGTAATAATCTTCAGCTCCTCACAAACTTGGACTTTATTCATTGCAGGTGGCAGACTTTAGATCCCTTGAACCTTCATTCATCGATGGAAGAACTCTGGAAGACTTTATGCACACCAGAGCTCACAAATGCGTTCATTGTGGCGAGTTGTAACCATTTCTATTCAGTCTTTGGTACCTTCGCCTCAAGCAATGTGCCCCCCACTTCTTTTAGGAATCACTCTTTTTCTCCTTTCATCTTTGGAATTGCTCCCACATGTGCAATCCCTTTGTGTTCATGAAATAAATGTTCGGGCATACAATGCCTAAACGTCATATTTGGAACACCATTTGATACTGAGAGTAAAATATGATGAAAAGATAAGGTGGAGTTGGATAGATTCCAAGAGGTTTGGGTGGGACTGGAAGCATGAATGTTGCCAGGAACTGAGAAAGTTATCCATCCTTAGAGGACTGTGACACAAGGTTTTCGACTGACAATCTTATTCCTCTTTCAGCATTGGATAGTATGTTAGAGATGCTAGCCATACAAGCTCTTGAACGTGTAATGCAAGACCATACGGCACTTCACTACCATCCTATCTCTTCTCTTCTAAAAACAAATTAAGTGAATTATCACCAATATTTTTTTTTGAAAAAACTTCGATGACTGGAGACTGTGATGCTGCTGCAGTGTGTTCTTGATGGACAAGAGAAAGCTAAATGACTTAAGTTGCTCTTCTCTGTTAAGTACTCACAAGGACTCACTTTCATCCGAGGGACTTGTGATTTGATGTCTATGGAGCATGAGCAAGAGAAAGGTAGAGATCAACCGCTCGGTCTATATAAAGAGTAGACCAAACATTTATTCTTTGTGCATTATTGTTTAAAATAGGGTTAACAATAGATTTGTTGAGCTAGAATTCTACAGATTTTGATGATACATAGCAATACTTGTGACATTGTACATCCCTACTTATACAACTGCATCCAGCCACTGCGGCCAGGTTTTCAGCTACATGAATTCACAACAAGCATTACAGATTAAATAAAAGTCTTGAAATGGCTATGTATATCTTCTGATATGTACAAAACATGCAGTCTAAAGATCCCATCTTGTCTCCATTTCAAAAACATGGCCACAAGTAAGACATCTTACATATGAATAATAAGACAATTTTATCCAGACTGCAACTAAAAATTAGTCATGAACTACGTTATGAATTTTTATTATTATCATTCAAGTTTACTTGTACTAAAGTTTTGTAACAGTTAACATCAAATTACAATTCAAGGTAGCCAAATCTAAAATACATCATATACTGAGACAAAATCTTCCTATATATCAATCGAGAAATCATTTAAGTGACTTTTATTTATATGTCAATCATTAGTAAAATGAAAGAAAAATTGTTATCATTTGATTGGATAATTATTTTTTATTATTTTATTTAATCTAAAATAAAAGGTAAGTTTAAAATCAATTAATATCACTTGCCTAAATAATAAAAACATCACTTTCCAAAATAATCTAAATGAAATTTTTTTAACGCTGAATAATTATGATATTACAAACTATGAGAAATATTACAAACGATTCTACAGTCGACAATGTACATGTTTTATGAGCATTCACACATAATTGCATCACTTGAGCCGTCCTATCGGATCTACCCTAGATTGTATTCTTTGCGCCATGCTGCAGATATTTTGTAAGTTAGCCAGGCCTTGTGGTCTGGTAGTGATTAATTTGAGGGTAAAATGTCCAATACGGTAAAGCCACCAGGGTTCGAGTCCCGGCCACAGGAGAATTAACATTTCGGCATCGCTAGGGACATGAGACCGACATGTGGTAATACATGACTAGTCTAGATCATTTTTGTGAGGCCAGAATACCCTTGTATAATTCAAAAAAGTATATCTTGTAAGTTTTTTCTCCTTTGATTCACATAATTTCACATTTTTTCAGGATTCGAAACCCAGACTTTCTGGTATAGAAACATTAATAAATCCTTAGTTAAACCACTAGACCAAAGAGGTTTATTACAAATAATAGTTTGGTAACTAACTGTCAAAATATAGAAATAGTCACAATGCTTGATCAATTCCATTTTATATTTATTTACTATAGGAAACAGTGAATAGAGATCAATTTCTATAAATTGATATAATGATTTCATTTTCTTATATATCCTCCTATATACTAATTGAAAGGTCATTTACATGATTTTTGTTTATGTGTCAATCATTGGTGAAGTCAAAGAAAAAATATTATAATTTGATTAGTTGATTATTTTTATATTTTTACTATTTTAATTAGATCTAAAATAAAAGGTAAATTAAAAATCAATTAATATCACTTGCCAAAGTAATATAAATGATATTACAAATAATAGTTTATCGTAACTGTCAGACTATAGAAAGATTAATAATTCCTGATCAATTCCAATTAATATTTAATTTTATTATATAGAGAATTATATTTGTATATAAAGTATTACAAAACTATATGTATTATAATATCCATTTATCTTTATAAACAGTTTATAAATAACTAAAACATTTAGAAAGTTATTTATCATGGCTTAAGAAATCTTTTTATCATTATTTCGAATTATTTATAATTGTTTATAAATCATTTATAAAAGAGAAATATAAATTATATATTAATTGGTGAAATCTTGAAAAGTTGTTATAATTTTCTTGGTCGATACTTTTTCATTTTATTTATTTTAATTAGAACTAAAAATAAAACTACGTCTAGAACTAATTAATATCACTTTCGGAATAATGTAAATGATATTGCAAATAATGATTTCTGTTAACTAATTTTTGAAATTATAGAAAGTGGAATAATGTTTGACCAAAGCTTTATATTTATAAACTTACTAGTGGTATTCCGGCGCTACGCGCCGGATTCGTATGTTTTATTCTCTAATGAGTCCGAAAGTATTTATAATCTTGAAATTACCACTATCTATGAATAAGCTCTTACATCATGCATGTTTCTTTTTTTAGATGATTCATATGATGTTGTTGAGAGTTGTTATATTTTGGTGGTCGATATGGGTTTCTAGAAAATGTTTAATGTGTTTTGTAGTTATTGAATATTCTTTCTTTTCGAGTTTTCGTTGTTCATTAGGATATATCATGTATGCATTATGGGAGGTTGCATTATATATTATTATACTATATCTTCAAAAGTATCTAATAGAAAGTGGAGGTTTATGTTTCTAAATTTCCAACGTTAATTGGTCTTTATTTGCTTGTTGCTGACTTTTAAATTGTAAATTTACTATGATAGAATAATTATAGATTTTATTTTAGGTATACTTCTATAGTTTTACAGTCGTATGATTGTCTTGGTTGGATATGAGTGTGTAGTGAACAAAACTAATAACATGTGGCAAAAAGGGTTACCATTTTCTTTTGTTTGTTCTAGTTATGGCTGTTGTGTTAGTGGTAATTCTCTTAATTTTCATTAATGTAAGAGTTAATTGCATGTGGATTTTGGAGCTTAAATTGTAGACGATTTGAGGTGACTAATGAAGAAATGATAGGGTACATAAACATATTTATTTATTTGGGTTAAGTTTGACTTAATGTCCATTTGAAGCTAAATGTTATATCTCATGTGAATGTATTTAAAACTATGTTCCAAGACTTTGATTTCTATGTAACTATTTTTTTAATCTATTAATGTATTTTCTTCTCACATTTGTTGTTGTATTTAGTAAATTTTTGTGTAATGTTTTATATTAGTGGTTGACCATATTTCTATTTAAAAGTATGTAAAAAATCAGAAAATACTAACATGAGAGATGACGTGGAAATGCATATGACAAACTATGCATACTTCCGTAAATCTGCAGAAATAGCCGAAGATCGATTTATTTCTTCTACCAATCTTTCTTCTTCAAAATCAATCTTAAAAGTCCATCAAACCACATTAACCCTTCATCATTAACCTCAATAAATGTTAATATATTATTCCTTAACTTGTGAAAAGAGCTCAATCTTAAATACATGATCAATTTTTCATATTTGCTAATTCTTGTAATAACAATTTTCAACTATTTTTACGCTCGTAAAATTGGTAAGATAAAGGAGAAACCTAAGAAAATGAGATCTTGAAACTTATACTTTACCTTCGCGTCGGTCAAAAGTAGGTCAAGATGAATTAGCTTCCAGGATTTTAGACTTCTGAAACATAATCAATTCACTACAAGAAAACAGGTGTCTAACGACTACGGTATTGGTTGTTAATTGGTCGTAATATGCCTTTTACGACCAATTAACATTGAAAACCCATTGGTC